GTTGCTTGGTTAAAAACTTATGTTTTCAAAGATCAAGATTTTTGGAATTTTGTTGCAGGTTCTAATGTGAGCTGGAGTATTAATAGACTTCTTAAATTGCGTCCTACTTCCCTCAGCATCTTCTCCTCATCAAGTTCTCTTAGGCTAAGAGATATTTGGGAATCTATCCGAATCAAAAGGGAGAAAGTTCCTTGGCATAATCTAATTTGGTTTCCAATGCACATTCCTAAATTCAGTTTGATTACTTGGATGTCTTTGTTAAACAGATTACCAACTAGAGATCAGCTACTCAAAATGGGAATTTCAACAGAAGGGACCTGTGTTAACTGCAGAGACGATCAAGAAACAAGAAACCATATTTTCTGCCAACGCACTCTTGCTGTTCGACTTTGGAGCTCCGTCCTATCGCTTAATAGCGTGAAGAATACTTCCTCAACTTGGGAAGAAATGGTTAATCGAGCTTCTTCAACTTGGAAAGGGAAATCCTTACTCATCACAATTCTGAAGATTTCTTGGACAACCTATATTTACACATTGTGGGAGGAAAGGAATCACAGAATCTTCCAAGGTCGTCAAAGATCTACTGATGAATTGTTCAACGTTATTATTGAAGCTGTGTGAATCCAACTTAAGGGTAAAAATATTAATAGAACTGATAGAATTAATTCTAACCTATGTATTGCTTGGGGTATTACTTAACCAATCTTTGTTTTCGTAACAGATGTGTATAATTCTTTTGTATTGATTGGTTGATTGTATTTTATAGCAGAATACTGCTCTTTAAATAATAAAATTTGATTTATCCAAAAAAAAAACAAAAAAAAAAAGATAAAGTACGGTGGTGAACAGTTCAATTGGTTAATGCCGCGTGGCATTGGCCCCACCTCCTCTCGATCCCCATTGGCTATTAAGCTTTCTTAACCTAACTATTAAAAGAAAACACTCGCCCCACTTAGGCACTAACCTTTGATTTTGAAAACAAGCAGTAATATCAAACAATGTATTTCTAATTTTCCATTCAATAATTATTTGTCATTATTTAAAGTAAAATAATTTTTTATTATAATAAAATTGCTATTTATTATTAATAATATGAGACTTTTATATCACCATTTTCGATATAAGATATATCTCACGTCATTATTATTTTGATATATTTAAATTTAATCGTATCATCATTTTTTACACGTGTTATATGTTAAATCACCATTTTTTTCTTACGACATATCTCACTTTACCGCTTTGAAAATATTGTAGTCTCACATCAATAACATATATTAATCCTTATTTACTATCAAATGAGATGTATTTTACATCTAAATAAAAATGTCAAAGACCAAATTATTTAAAAATTAAAGATTAAAATAATTATTTTATCAAATGTTTGATATTAATTTTTATATTATTTCAAATAAAAACAAATTACATAAAATTTGAATTTTTTTTACGTTAAATGAATAAAAGGGATTTGATTTTGGATGAGTTTGCCCCTTTCGACGAGTACCGATGAACTTTACTAACGATGAACACCATTAATTTAATTTATAAAATCTTAAAATTCTAAATGACTCAACGTATAATTATAAATTAGTTAAAAATTTAAAACTAAATTATTTAATATAAAACAAAAATTATATCAGTGACAACCTAATTATTGTCCCTTTTCATTTTGATCATTATTCTTGAAATTTTGTCAATTAGGTCGTTCAACAATTTAAATTCATTCAATTAAGCCATTTGCCATTAATATTTACCAGAGAAACTGACGTGACAGTTAAAATATTTGGTATAATTACATGTTTGATCAATGTTACTTATATATTCTATTAATTTGATCCAAATTTTAATAAATTAAAATAAACTTAACCCTCAAATCAAATGATGTGATGTGTCATTGGTACCAAGTGTAATTACATGTGTCACCATCCTAAATATCCACAAAAGCAATAAATGGATAGCCAAATAGCAGAAAATCAAGTAGGAAGAAACTTACAGCTAGAAAACGGAACTCGAGTTCTCTTTCAATGAAAGCTCGAATCTAATTTTACAGAGAAATAGAAGCATATCAAGTAAAAGTGGAGAAATTCAACTCAAAATTTTGAAATAGAAAAGCAATACCTCTGATTTTTTAATCTAAAAAACAGTAACAATTAATCTCTCATTCACAAGGCTCTACACTTAAGCTCGATATCTCCTGGGGAAAAAACACGTCAAAATCATCTTAAAACATAATAGGAAAAGAACATTTTCATATCACCTTTTTGAATAAGCGGAAAACGGCTATTTTAATTTAAATAGAAATTAAAATAAATTTAATCGTCTAATCAGATGGTAACGTATGTCATTACACTTGGTACAGTGACACATGATATTATTTGATTTGGGGTTAAGTTTATTTTAATTTATTAAAATTATGACCAAATTGATAGAATATATAAGTAACAATAACCAAATGTGTAATTATATCAAATATTTTAACTACCACATCAGTTTCTGCGTTAAATATTAATGACAAGTGGCTTAATTGAATGCATTTAAATAGTTGAGTGACCTGGTAGATAAAAATTCAAGAATAGTGTTCAAAATGAAAAGAATAAATAATTAGGTTGTCACTGGTATATTTTACCCTTTATTTTAAATAATTAGATTTTAATTTTTAACTAACTTATAATTATACGTTTAAACATTTAAAACTTTAAACATTTATAAATTAAATTAATTATGCTCATTAGTGGTATTTATTAGTACTCGTCGAACGTAATAGAATTTCCCATTAATTTTTTGTTTATACTACAAACAACTAGAGGTTGCTTTAAGCAAACCTTATCCATTTTTACCTTAACAGTAGGTGGAGGATGGCCATTTAACCAAAGCATGTGGATTAGTGAGGAATAAACCGGGCCATCTGACTCGGTCTGCAGTCTGTAATTTTGTTTGAAAAGTATTTGTTATATTTTTTATAAAATTAAAATTCATGTTTTAATAAAGATTTATTAGTAAATATTACATTAAATCCTAAAATTAAGTCTCATATAAAACGAGCATTCGATGAGTTATTGACGTGGATTTCACTCGTTTGATGGATTTCGATATACAGTTAATAAAAAAAAGTGATGATTCAAATGATATTTTAACAAAGTTAAGTGTTTTATTATATATATTCAATTTTTTATTAATATAATACAATTTAATATTTATTTTAAGATAATTATAAATCATTTGACATTAAACGTTTATGTTTCTTATATTTATGATAATCGAACCCGAAATCTCAAAGAATTATGACAATTATTTGATCACCAAGATCGTTTACTTTGTGCAAATTTTTAAATATATTTAAAAATATAATTAGAACACCAATTTTAAAATAATAATTATTTTCAACTGATTATATATTAAATAAAAGTTCATTAAATAATGACACATTATTGGTAATTAATGAAGTGGTTAACTGAAAGCATCCCCTTAAATAATGGATTATTGCAGGTTTTGTCGCTGTGATTCCCCCCATTATTGCCCATGTTTACAGCCCGATTCCTCTGCTCTTAATTATTTCTTCTCTCGGGAACTCAACCCACTGCCTCTGCCTTTTTATTTTATTTTTCATTTTTCTGATACATACTTATTATTTTTTTTACCTTAAATAATTAAAATGTTTACTTTTACTTCCTATGGATATGAGCCAATCAAAACCCTTTGTTTTATTAATTACCCACGTTTAAGCACGATATTACATATCAACTTAATGAAAACAACGGTCATGATCTCACCCACCTTCCTACATATTTTGTTACCTTTTGATTAACTTTATATATATATATAATACTTCAACAATATGTAATCTATAGTGAATCAAACTCTACAAAATTTTTAGATGGAATTCTCTCATAAAATATTTTCTGATATTTAATAGAGTAGAAAGATAAAATTACGAACATTCTATAATAATATTTTTCTAAAAATATAATATTTGAAGGTTAGGGTTAGGAATGTATATTTTATGTAAATCTATCGGGTTTTTGATAGGATTGAGTTTTATTTAAAATAATTTAAGTTGATATCGTGTTAATTAAAAGATAACATCATTTTGATTTAATTTTAGATCTAAGATGAAAAATATTTGATACAATAATAATATATAATTAACTTTTATATATTTAAGAATATTTGTTATAATATTTCTCTATTTCATCTAATAAAAAAATTATATATATGTATACCAGGTTGAATCGACATGATTTTGACTTTTACCTTACAAATCGTGTGAAGTTGTGGGATATGTGGAGCTTTTCTAAACTTGATTTAAGTGATCAGCGGAGGGGTGTCATGCTCGAGTTAAGAAACATGATCGATAGTATAACCGATGGACCAAAAATTATGTCCATCTCTAATTAAGAAACATGGTCTACAGTAAAATCGAAAAATGTCTCGATATTCAAATGATTTTTTTACGTGGTGTGTGTATCTTGTTAATAATTAAAAAATATTCTAAATATGTACATTGTAATTATTTCATATTATTTAAAAAAAATGAATGTGGCTGCTTTATATTTAAATGAAAACTCAAGAAAGAAAGTAAAATTGTACTATGTATATAGTAAAATTTGAAATTATTTGGAGCCAAGATTCTTCAATTTCCTAGTTCTTAAGGTAGCATAATCCTTTGCATTTTGGTGTAGAATTGCCCTATTTTATTCAAATTTTGTTTGCCTTTGTTTAAAGCAATGATACCTTTACTTTATAAGTCCAAAGCTTACCCATTTGCCAACTCATTACTTCAAACCATGACAAAAACCGAAGCAAGCAACCCATAATTTTTTTACTTCGTACAATAACAATAAATATATTGTAAAATAAAAATACTTGATCCAAATTAATTTATAGACTAAATACTAAAAAGATGCTACAATTTCATCATATTTGCAATTCTGCCCTTCCCTTCACTCCTCAAAACCCCACCCTTTCTTCTAACTCGGGCACCAAACTCTCTTGAAATTCTCTTTCCATTTCCCAACTTCTTCTCTCTAGCGAAGCTTCGTATCCATTCGTTTTCCCATATATTCGTATATACAAAGCTGTACACTGTAACTTCTAAAGCTAAATGGAGATCGGGGACTTCATCGTCGGAGGATTTTATGGCGGCGCAGCAGGCGATGATTTCTCGCCAGTGAAGATGCTTGCTGCTGAACGCAAGCTCTCGGAGAATTTCACCGTCGATGATCTCCTTGACTTCTCCAATGAAGACGCTGTTATGAATGACGGCTTCTTCGAAAATGTCGCCGGAAATTCCACCGATTCCTCCACTGTCACCTGTAATTCCTCCGTTTCCGGAGGCGATAATCACTTTTCCGCTGTTGATATCCCTCACTCCTCTCAGTTCTCCGGAGAACTCTGCGTTCCGGTACTTAACTAAACTAACTTCTGTTTTTTTTTTGTACTTTTTGAATTTCCCCCCTATTATTGCATGAAAAAGATTATGATTAACGTACTTAATAATTTTTTAGTTTTAAATATTTGTCGGTATTAATTAGAAGTTAAATAACTGAATTTTAGAAAATCAATGTTTGTTTTGTGCAGTATGATGATTTGGCTGAACTTGAATGGCTTTCGAATTTCGTTGAGGATTCATTCTCAACGGACCAGAATTTACAGATTTTCGCCACGTCAAAATCCCTCACACCTGAATCGTCCTCTTCCTCAACCCGTCCCGATTCCTTAAACCGGAGCCCAACCAACCAGATTTTCCAACAGGACACTCCCCTCCCGGGAAAATCCCGTTCCAAGCGTTCAAGGATCGCCCCGTGCGATTGGTCCACCCGTCTCCTCCACCTCAACCCTAAATCCGCGGGCCAGGAAAGAAGGGACAACCGGAACAGCAATTCGGAGTCTTCGGGACGGAAATGTTTACACTGTGCGGCGGAGAAGACACCGCAGTGGAGGACGGGGCCTTTGGGTCCGAAGTCGTTGTGTAATGCGTGCGGGGTGAGGTACAAGTCGGGTCGATTGGTACCGGAATACCGACCCGCTGCGAGTCCGACATTTGTGTCGACGAAGCATTCGAATTCTCACAGGAAAGTTTTGGAGCTTAGGAGGCAAAAGGATTTCCGAAGAGCGCATCATCATCAACAGCTTATTAGTCGATCTTCGATTTTCGGCATATCCAACGGTGGTGGTTGTGCTGATGATTTCTCGATCCATCATCACGGCGGGCCGCATTTTAGGCACATGATTTAGTCCCAAAATATTTGTAGCTCTTTCCTTAAATTTGATCTTCAAAGAAGAAAGAAGAAATGATGTAGTTTTAGCAGCAACAAAACAAAAACAGAGCAAGTCAGTCAGTTAATTTTTGCCCATCCGCAGTTTTTAGAATTACTTTTTGTTTTTCGTAATTGTAATCCAACTTTTTTTTAATTCATTTTATTCCTAATGTTCGTTTATTGTCTGTGTTCTAATTTCATACGCATTACACATATCTTCTAAAGACTTGAATTATCATTTTTAAAACTTTAATTTAAATCAGTGTAAAGTGTGTTACGACTACCCACTACACATTTCTCGATTTAATTTTCTTCTTACAATCTTAAGAAAATGGATAAATAAATAGCTGAAAAGGGTTAGAAATCTTTATTGGAAGTTTGTTAATTCACTTATTTTATTAACATTGACTGTTAATTTTTTTTTTTGAATTATTGGTGTTATAAGTTACGATATTACCATGTGATATTCTATAAATTTATTATCTTTTGATAAATTTTATCCCCTTAAAACAAAAACAAAAGAGATTATATTGTTGAGTTAGGTTGGATATTTCAAAAATCTACAAAAATAAAATGATATTTTTATTGCTGGCATAGTGTTTTCTAAAATTATATGTTTTTTATTTGGCTTTTTGAAAAGTTATATTGGACAAAAAATTCTTTTGCTGCTTTCCTTCTTCTCTCGTTTTCACACCAAGAGAATCTGATTTTATCATTTTTCCCTTTTTTTTAATTGATTAAACTAAAAATATTTATAAAAAATAAGTAAAGTAGAGTTTATGGGGAAGTCTAAGGAAAGTCAACCTAATATAAGGTTAAGGAAATATGTTATCGGAAATGTTAATTTTATTTTAACATTTTCGGTGAAGCGCTACCTAAAATATTAATTTCGTTACCTAAAATGTTAATATTTTTAACGTTTCCGTTTGTAACCGGCAATCTTATGGAGAAAGTAATATTTTAAATAACAAGATTAACATTTTAGATAGCATTCTACAAAAAACATTAAAACAATATTAATCTTTTTTATTACATCTATCCTTAACCTTATATTAGGTTGAAGTGTAGCAGAATTACCCGAGGTCCTGGATTGATATCTACACGCAGTAATTTTTAATTATTATTATTAATTGGGCATGGATTTCAGTGATTCGTGAATGATAAAATGGAAAAAAATCAAAGTAGATGTCGTCTTTAGTCTGTATCATTTTTTTTAGGATAAAGTCAAATAAAGAAAAAAAATCAAATTGAATTACGAGAATCAAAGAAAATTATTATTAATATTATTACTTGATGAAATAAAATGAAATATGATGTAATATTTACCTATACAATCATTGAAGTGTTGTAGAGTTAATAAATATCAAAACCCTAAATTCTTAATTATATATATTCAATTCTCGTTTCACGTTAATACTTTTTTTAAAACGTTTAAAATCATCTTAAAATTAAACAATATGACGAGTAATTTGATGAAGGCTCATACAGCGTTTTGGGCATATTTATATAAACAAAAGGTTAAAGATAAAATGAGAATATGACTTTTTTTAGCTGCTTTTTTTGGGTACTTTATAAAAAGCCTAAAAAGAAACTAAACAATTATAAATACAGAATAATGGAATTTAAAGAGTACACGTAAAAGTACATGGTATACGTACATTAGATATATAATAATAATATGAGAATATGCATGCATGGGAGGGGAGTTAAGCAAGGCAAAGGCATGTGGATATACGATTGCAAAACACCAAAAACATGCATGTGATTTCCAAAGAATATCACATGCGATGCTGTAGGTCACTGAGACCTTATTTATATATATACAGAATGGCTTGTCTTTGCTTTGGTGCCCATTGTATAGGGATCTTTCCATGTTATTTCTGTATCAGATGATAGGGTTTGTCCCCCCCCCCCCAACTCGGAACCCTTTCCCCCCCAAGACTCAATTCTTTATATATACTAATTTGTGGGGCCGCCTCTGTTATAATCTAGGGTCAATATTTGGTATACTACCCTACTAGTGAACATTTCCATTTTCAATAGTATTGTATACGATAATTATTGATGTACTCATGTACAATAAGTGAGATGATAGTTTAAGGTGATTTGATAGACCGATGATGATGGTAAGTTGATCGATCATTTACTATATATATATTTTTAATTTGAGGGTTGAATCCTTTTTTATCCAATCTTTCTCAATTTTACATGATTTTTATTTTTTCAATTACTCATCCATTTTAAGTTTTTAATCAAATTTAAACCACATACTCCACTATCACTATAGAATATCTATATAACTTCAATTACTATTATTAACAATAAATATATTCTTTCACTTTAGTGATATATTTTATTTAATTTGATTGATTTTTTTTTTGTAAAAAAATATCCCATCAATTCTGTGACTTCTTATACTCCTATTAATAATTTATTCTAATAAATATATTACTTATAAATAATATTATAAACACATTTTATAACTTTAGATATGATTTGATTTATTAAACAATATTATTTTTTTTGGTAAATTGGAACGACTACGTTTTGTAATCTAAACCCTAAGGTATTCTATCTCGTTCGCATCCGCTTGAAGCAGAGGAAGGAGTTCTTCGGGTGGGTTCTCCAGGAGTGCACCCATTCTTCTTTCTCGAGAGCTAACCTTGCAATTTGATCAGCGCAACAGTTACCTTCTGTCCAGGTGTGTCTGATTTCCTTTACCAAACATTCTCTTTTCATTTCAACGCAATCTTTGAAAAGAATTTCATTTTGGATTCCATCTGATTCTTCATTGTTCAAGGCGTCAACGATATATCCATTTGGCATCAGCTTCCGTTATAACATTCCTTACTCCCATCGATTTGGCCATAAGCATACCCTGTCGGATTCCCCAGAACTTAGTAGTAGAGCTCGATTCTTGCCTAATTTTTATCATGAATTCGTGTATCCACCTTCCATTCTCATACCTAATCAGCCCTTCTACCGCTTTGAGATCGCCATGTTGATGCATGTTCCGTCCGTATTCAGTAACCAACATCCGTTTGATGGGTGTCTCCATTTCACCCACTTTGGTTCCCTGGTGATGGAGGAATATTCCAGTTCCTTAGTTTTTTTAATATCATTTGCTAGATTATGGCTGTATTGTTGGATTTTGATTGGGTTCTTGGTTGCATCTTTGAAAATTGCTTCGTTCCTGTCTTTTCAAGTACCCTATATGGTTGCAGTAAATCTATTCTCCCACGTGATGCCCTCGTTAGTTGTTCTTAGATACACTATTTTTTTTCAACTACTCATTGAAATACCTAATATAGAAGTTTCTGTCATATTGCATGGCCTGTAGGTTGACCCACACTGTACTCGCAGTTCTGTAATTCCTCAACACATGGTCTATGGATTCGATTTCTCCTTGACATTCTTTACCATAACACTTCAAATTTCCGACTAGTAATTTTGGGTTTATCCGAGAGTTATATGAACCTTGTGGAATTTTATATTTTGAGTCGTTGGGTCTAGTGGGCTTAATTGGGTTGATTTAGAGCCCAATTAACCATAAAAGGAATATTTTTTAATAGTAGAAAATGAGAAAGGACCCATTGTGTAATTTTGCCATTTTAGAAAGATGGATACTTTTTATCTCTATTTCCTTCCTTCTCATTTCTCATCTTCCACTTCAAGTTCCATAGCACAAAGGTAAGGTCTTGAACCCTTTTCATGCTTCATTTTCGTTCATAATCCCCCAACCAAAATCGTTTTAATGAATCAAAGTCTTGGTTTATTCATAGCTAAAGAAAAGTGGGAAATTTTCATCCAAATCACCAAGGAATGGAGTTTGGTTAAGCAAAGAGCTCTATTTCGGGATTCAAACATCAAAGTAGTGTATTTCTTATCATTTGGATTGTTAAGCTTTCATAAATTTAAAGAATTTGTTAAGATTTGATCATTTAAGCTTTTTAGGGTTTGCCATTGAATTCATGAACAAATCATACTTTAGGTGTAAAGAATGTGTTTTTAAGACACCTTAAGACCCCTAAATAACCTTCTAAAGCTTCAGTATAAGATTAAGAACCAAACCAAGTCATTTAGGGTATTTTTGGGTGTTTTTCGAGCCTAAATAAACTATTTTGGGGGTTGAGTATCGATACTGGGATGAACAATATCGATACTGGATGAATTGGGGAAAAAATTAGGGATTTCAGGTAGGAAGTTACTGCCATAAGAGTATCAATACTACCCCTACAGTATTGATATTGGGCATATTTTTTCAGAAACATAATGCTTTTTTGGTACCGATACTCATAGGGGTATTGATACTGCTAGTAGAGCATCAACTCTACTCACCTTGGATAGTTAGATTTGACCTATTCAAGGCACGTAGGAGCTAAGGATGATCCGTAATGGTAGAATGTAGTCTGTGGGGGATGCAAAGGGCCAATAAAGCCCAGAAACATTCGCAGGAGTGGGTTACAAATAAAGTAACTATTCTAAGTAAATTGTTCAAAGTATCTTCAATCGAGAATTTATTGAGTAATCGTGTACGAAGGATCGTTCCGAATGATATGTCAGCAAGTTAGACGATGAACGACGTGGCTAACATGATAGAGGAAAGCGAGTCTTACGCGAACACCTATAATCGAATATGCGTAAGTTACCCTACCAGTTCAATGGTGAGCCGATGGAAAGTGTGACAAGAACGACTAGGGAGTCGTCAATGAATTATCCTCAAATCGAGCGTTGGACTAGTTATAATATACCAAATGGATAACAGTGTTTACAAATTACCTTAAGGGCATATAACACTAAAACACTGTTAAGCTTTTACATAACGTTCTAGGAGAGAGAACAATCTCACCTACTTGTGTTTTAATTGATAATAATGACAAGATAACAATGAGATAATTATAATATTATGTGTGATAACCATAAAAACCTTATAAGGTAAGATTCCATAAGACTTGTGTCTTTGCTTGTCGCTTGAGAAACGATAA